CAATTAAGTTGATTTAATTTGATTATAACGCTTACTAATTCGCTGAATTTAGTGCACGAAATGCCAAATTTCGTCTTTCATGAAAATGCATCTCAGTAATTTAAAGTGTGAACCTGTATATATGTTATACCTGGATATTGTTTAACCGAAGATTATTAGATGAGAAAAACTTTCTCTACACCAGGTCTACATGAAGAACCGTTTCTAACTCTTAGTCCTTCCATCTATTCCTACAACACTGTAAATATTGAATTTTATATATTTGAATGTCCTCTGGCCTCCTACCATACTAAGTCTACTTTTTTTATACTGTCATTAGCCTAGGTTATGGATTGTGAGTATAAGAGATTTCTGTGATTTGTGACTTTATTGTGTTATGATGTGTGTATGTTTATAAATGTATGTATTTGATTATGTGGGGCCCGACATCAGTTCATCTGCCAGGGCTTCCACTGTATTGCAAATGTTGGCAATTTTAATAAATAAAATGAATGAAGTATTCTGCTGAACACAGAATTTACTAGAATCTCCTGGCGTCTATTCTGCTCTGCGATTGCAAAGAACGTTAGCGGTCTAACGTAACGTATGCGTCATCTACGCTTAATAAAAGATCACGTTGCAATTATTATCATACATACACCAGGACATGTTTCTAAAGTCAATCTCAAGCATCATATTTCATACGAAACTATTTTTTCTGCCTGGCACAATATCCCAGCTAGATAATGTCTGGTTTTTCATTTACTTCACAGGGCTCGAAATTCATTTTTGGGAAAAGGTGCACTGGTACACCGAACCTAAAAATTAGGTGCACAAAACTTTTTTGGGTGCACCATATGAAACAAAACCTAATTGTAGGTCTTACTGCCCTTCTTCTGAGCTTGAATCTAAAATGAGAACTAACTTCAAAATCTTAAACAAGTACTACAACAAAGATTTTATTATTTTTCTGATACTTAGAGACCAAGACTTTCCGGTATAACAGCTATTATACATTTCTAATGTTATAAATTCCTACAAAATATTTGGGTGCACAAAGGTGCACATGCATCCAGTATTTCGAGCTCTGCTTCAACTGAAATCCATACCTTCCCTATGGATCCTTTCCCCTACCGTGCATTCTATCTTGATCAGAGGGATCTCATTTGGATTGATCTTAGGGCAGTGCTTTAAGGAGATGGTCCATAGATCTTTGGAACTCGATCCCTATTCAAGGTTACGCATACGGCTGCTTCAATATACTTCAATATAGAGATTGTTATCGTACGTAAAATGCTGCTCCGGAGGTTTCATATGATACTCGCATGAGGGGCTTTCATACGAATTTGATACTGTTATGTCATGTTTCAAATTCTACTCTAGCTTGTATTTTTATTAGACAAGATATGCAAGAAAATGTCAAAGCAGGACACGTTTAAACACTTGATGTCATGCAAGAACGAATGTATAGCAGACAAACTATGTAATTATGTTTCCAAATGTTTCAAAAAGAGAGAAGAAAGGGCAACTAACAGTAGATGATAGGTAGTAAATAGTATTGTTGTAATGTATAGAGCATATAGCAATTACCATTAGAATATAGCGTCCCAGTATGCAATACTCATGTTTTGCATACTGCATATCCTATTGTGCATTTAGCCCATTTGGGCATGAACATGCAATAAAAATTCATCTCATATCATTATAATTGTGATATCAGCCGTCCTTCAACTTGCTGTGCTGAATTTGCTGTTATAAGGCCATGTTGATTCGATTATATGGATGACATCCGCGCGCGTATGAATTTTCGGCCGTTTCCAAAAAAAGTTTTCGACCATACCGTAAACATACAAAACAGTTACAAAATGAGCAAATATATACCGTAAGTTAAAAAAAGAATATTTGAAAACGATACCAATGTCGTAGAATGCCAAAATCATACAAAAAAGACGAAAATGTAAAGAAATGAATTTGAAGAGTAGATTATTCGCCATACTCTGTGTCATTTGTTTAACCTTCATGACCACGTAGATTTCATAATGAAGGAAACGATTTTTATTTGCTAAACTTTTTTTTATTCGCACGCTCGCATCAGTTATGGGGTTCCCACAGGATACCATCCATATATGAAACTTTTTATTGCATGTTCATTTCCCGGAGGGATAAATGCATGGATGTACAATGTACTAGAGAGTACTAAAACAATAGTAATATAAAAGGCTAACATTAGGTCTAAGGTATACAATGCTAAAAATAAGATAAAAAGAAATATAAATATAAGTGGTATTGATCTAAGTTCTAATGGCTTCTTCTCTCTTTTTGAA